AGGCCCTTTGTGCTGAACAAGATATCAACCAAAATGAAACGGATGAAAACAAGAAACTAGGGGAATGGGTAGCCTCTGTAAAATCAACAGAGAGGAAGAACCCCGAAAAGTGGCTGGTTGCAGTTGTGTGGTGGTTAAGGACTTTGGCAGTCTCAGGCAAAGGATGTCATTGAGGTGTACTTCCACGCAAGAAATGAATACATAAACTTGGATTTTGTTTCTCAAAAAAAAAAAAGTCAATTTTAATTTCTAGGCATTAAAGGCATTTTATTAATATTTTTTAAAATTGAGGTGTAATTGACACATAACCTTGCATTAATTGTTGTACATCAATATTTGTATTTATTGAAAAATCATCACCACAAAAAGTCTAGTTAATATCGATCACTACACAGTTATATATTTTTTTCCTGTAGGAACTTTTAAGATCTACTTTCTTATCAACTTTTAAATATATAATACAGTGGGGATGCTTTACATCCTCATGACTTATTTATTTGTAACTTTAAGTTCATACCTTTGATTACCTTTACCCACTTAGCCCACCCTCACCTCCCACCTCTGGCTACCACCAATCTCTGAATTTATGAGTTTGGTTTTTTGTTTTTATTTTAGATTACACACAAAGTGAGATCATATAGTATTTGTCTTCCTCTGACATTTCACTTTGCATAATTTCCTCAAAGTCCATCCATGTTGTCACAAATGTCAAAAGATATATTATTAATGCATGCTTCAATAATACAAGTTTTAATAATATGAATTTGTAAGTATTGCCAGTGATCTGAATCTGAGTAATCTTATTATGAAAGTAAACAATGATGAAAAATACCTCTAACCATTAATTTCATTGGTGTCTAAACATCAGCTATAATGTATTTTCAAAGATATTTCTTCCCTCATGGACACAGTCAATAGGATGGTGAAGGCCTGGGGTTGGTGAGGGCTAGAAGGGCCAATGGGGGGGATATGTAATACTTTCAACAATAAAGATTTTATAAAAACTATCTCTTCCCTATTGATAGATCAGAATTCAATAAAATGTAATTCTGTCTCATGACATCTTGGGGTCTGGGAAGATAGTAACTGATGTCTGTGAAGAACTGTGTTAGGTTATCTCAGTGGGTTTAAATTCAAGGCTAATGCTATAATTAACTTCCATGATAATGGTTTAAAAATAAATCCTAAAATATAGAAAGCTGGAGGCATTACACTTCTTGATGTCAAACCATATTATAAAGCACAGTAATTAAAACAGTATTGCTCAGTGGTTAGAGTGTTGGCCAGAGCACTGAAGGATCACAGGTTTAATTCCCAGTCAAGGGCAAACAGTCTCAGGTTTGGGTAACAGGTTTGGTCCCAACCCTAAGTGAGGGAGAGTGGGGGAGATAACCGGTCCATGTGTCTCTCTCACATTGATGTTTCTCTCTCTCTCTCTCTCTCTCTCTCTCTCTCTCTCTCACTCACACACACAAACAAACAAACAAACAAAAAAAACAGTATAGTGCTAGCATAAAAAACAGACATGTAGACCAATGGAACAGAAGCAAAAGCCCAGAAATAAACCCATATATGTGTAGTCAACAAATATTTGATAAAGTAGCCAAGAATACTCAATGAAGAAAATGCTCTTCAATAAATAGTGCTGGGAAAATTGGATATTTACATTTAAAAGAATGAAACTAAACCCGTACTTTATACTACTCAAAAAATTAAATTGAATGAATGAAAGACTTAAATGTAAGACTGGAAACCATAAAACTCCTAGAAGAAGACATTGAGAAAAATCTTTTTGACATGGGTGTTAGTAATAATTTTTTTATATGATGCTCAAAACACAACAAAAGCAAAAATAAACAAGTAGGACTATATCAAACAAAAAAGCTTCTGCATAGCAAAAGAAACAACAAAATGAAAAAGCATCTATAGGCTAGGAGAAAACATTTGGAAATTATCTACACCAATAAAAGACAAACATGCAAATTGACCATACCTTTGCTATGCCTTAAGCCATGCCCACCAGCCAATCAGAGCAACTATATGCAAATTAACAACTGTTGATACCACAAAAGAATTTAGTGAAATATATTTTGTTTCTGAATATGAGAAAAACAGATCCCAATATGATTAAAGAAAAAAATTAAATGTCTAATGCTAAAGGGAAAACGAATAGTTCACAATAAACAGGTACAAAGACAAAAAATTAAAAATAGAACTACCATGTGACCCAGAAATTCTGGGTATTTATCTAAAGGAATAAAAAAGCACTAACTTGAAAAGGTATGTGCACTACCATGTTCACTGAAGTATTAGTTACAATAGCCAAGATATAAGTAACCTAAGTGTCCATCAATAGACAAATGGATAAAGATGATATGGTATATATATAATGGAATATTACTCAGCCATAAAAAAGAATGAAATCTTGCCATTTGTGACAACATGGATGAAATTTAAGGTCATTATGCCAAGTGAAATAAATCAGACAGAAAAAAAATCGCATATTATCTTATTTATAGTAAAATCTAAAAAGAAAACCAAAACCCCACACTTCATAGCCCAGCAGACATGGCACAGTGGTTGAGTGTCTGCCTATGAACCAGGAGGTTACAGTTCAATTACCGGTCAGGGCACATGCCCGAGTTTCAGGCTTGATCCCCGATGGGGGGCCTGCAAGAGGCAGCCAATCAATGATTCTCTCTCACCATTGATATTTCTATCTCCCCCTGTCCCTTCCTCTCTGAAATCAAGAAATATATTAAAAAAAAAACACATAAATGACCTCATAACCTCATAGATACAAGGAGCAGATTGGTGGTTGCCAGAGGCAAGGAATGGAGGGGCGAAATGGTGAGGGTGGTCAACAGGTACAAACTTCCAGTTATAAAACAAAGTAAGTCCTGGGGATGTGAGGTTCAGCATGGTGATTATAGTTAACGACACTGTATTATATATTTAAAGTTGCTAAGAGAATAAATCTTAAATGTTCTCATCATGAAACGAAGTTTATAACTGTATGGCGATTGATGTTAACGAAACTCATCCTGGTAATATTTTGCAATATATACATATATTGAATCATTTCGTTGTACACCTAAAATACAATGTTATATGACAATTATATTTAAAAGTAAAAGAATGCCACTAAGCGTAGGCATCTTAGGAAAATATATCATTTTTTCATATGCTTCCCTTAAAGCCAATCTAAGGATACAATTGCTCTATATTTTATTGCTTACCTATACTTTTTACTACCAGCTCTATGACTTTTAAAACGAGGCTTTAACTAGGCCAGAAAATAAACTGTATAGGCAAGCATGGAACAAAAACCCTTCAGTGAGAATTTTTTTAAGTTTTACAAACTGACTCTGGTCCCTCTACCTTCTCCCACTCCTCCATCTGGGAGCAATCACAAACCTTCATTTCTGGAAAAAAGCACTCTGGCAAGAAACAAAGGAAGCCCAAGTAGCCACAAAGCCAGCCTCCCTCCTGGTGAATAACAGAATGCCTGGTGGGGGGCGAGGGGTGCCAAACAGTGACCTTGCTGGGCCCAACGGTATGCCATGGAAAGCTTGGTTGTAAGAGGAACCTTAAGCTTACTGCCTCCACTGAAAACATGGACCCCAATCTAGTTTTGAGGGGCTGTGGCTCTTATGCTGTTGTGGGGTTTGTGATAAAAGATCTTGCTGCTTGGCAACAAGCGGGTGCTCAACAAACTTCTAAACAACGAAATAAAAGGTGATTGGTTCCCCTGGGGGCAACAGAATAGCACCGGTTAACCGCATACAGTTCAAATAAGGAGGAAAAGCGATTCAAAAACTATGGGGACTGTTCTTAATACAGGCACAAACTTCCTGATTGAGTAGTTAAATTTCTTGTCTAACATTGCTAACAAACGGGCAATATAACCTTTGCTTCCCACTCTATAATAGCACTTTCCATTTCAATGACAACATTTAGTTGTTTTCAGAAACAACTCCTGGACTTTGGAAAGAAGAGGTGGGGTGGGGCAGAAGAGATTCACCAAGTATAGGCAAATAATTAAGCCACTTTTCATATGCAGGTATTTAAAGGTAAAGAGTTCAAAATAACATATTTGTTAATACATGGTGTCTGTGACTAGCTAACCATCATTTTTTTTTTTCCTTTGCCTGCATTCACAAGTTGGTTTCATAGAAGGCTGTATTGTAGTCCGGGAGCATTGTTTTGCATTAATTTCTATGACAAGGAACCCAAAACACATGGTGCCGAGAGTAACAAAACAGAGTTAGGAAAACAGTCATGACTTGGCACAAAGTGTGACAAGCTGTAAAAAGAGGCATGTTTCAATATCTGAAGTGGTGTGGATTTCCTATGAACAACCTTTTCTCTTCTAAACAGTATCATATTCTTTTCAGGCACATTTAGAACGCAAGTCAAGCTGTGTTTTATTTTTGATTATAATAAACACAGTCAGCTTACTGCAACAAAGACGTACTAGTGGTGATCAGTTGAAAGCCAAAGTACAACCCCATAAGCTGGGTGGGGGGTAGAATGGGGGAGCCCGGGGGTGGGTAGTCAACTGATAAAATAAAAGACCAGCCGTCTGGAAAGTTCTCTTAAAAGAACATAAAAAGGCAGTGTTTTCTTATGAAACTAACACAGAATGCCAAAATATCTAACTTGGCTCTTTTTTTGTCACTTAGGGCAATTTGTAACTAAAAATAGAAAATCCTTCAAAATACTGGGCTCTCCATAATAAAATTTAAAAATTTCATACACTACTTTAAATTATAATACTATTTCTTATGTAAAACTCTTCTACATAGTAAGTATATTTGTTATAATACTTCTCAAATGATCATTTTAAAATGTTTATAATTATGCATGCACTTAGATTATTGATAAAGGGAAAACGAATAGTTCACAATAAACAGGTACAAAGACAGTTTATAAAACTCTCATGATTAAATTAAATTCCTGAATTCATATTTATTAGGAAATAATGTAAATCACCTTACCATTTCTTGAACTAACACTTTTTCAGCATTAAGTTCAGCCTTTAATTTATCTCTACCTTCAGTTAACTGAAAGAGAAGAACATTACATTTTGATTATAAAAACAGACCACAAAAGAATTTAGTGAAATATATTTTGTTTCTGAATATGAGAAAAACAGATTCCAATATGATTAAAGAAAAAAATTAAATGTCTAATGCTAAGTGAAATAAGCCAATCATAGAAAGACAAATACCATATGATTTCACTTATATGTGGAATCTAATGAACAAAATAAACTAACAAATAAAATAGAAACAGATTCATAGCTGTCAGAGAGAAGAGGGTAGGAGGTCTAGGTGAGAAAGGTGAAGGAATTAGAAAAAAACATACAACCTCATAGACAAATAACAGTATGGTGATGACCAGAGGGAAATGGGGGTGGGAGAGGCAGGAGAGAGTAAAGGGGGGATAAATGGTGATGGAAAGAGACATGACTTGGGATGGTGAACACACAACACAATATACATGATGTATTATAGAACTGTACACCTGAAATCTGTATAATTTTATTAACCAATATAACCCCAACAAATTCAATAAAAAAATTAAATGTCTACAGATTATCATGTACTAATAACATACTACCATATAATTATTACTAGACACCCAGTGCACAAAAATCGTGTGGGGCGGGGGGCGGAGATGGAGTCCTTCAGCCCAGCTTGCACCCTCTCCAATCTGGGACCACTCGGGGGATGTCCGGCTGCTGATTTAGGCCCGATCAGTGCAGGATTGAGGCTAAACCAGCAGTTGGACATTCCTCTTGCAATCCGGGACTGCTGGCTCCTAACTGCTCACCTGCCTGCCTGCCTGATTGCCCCTAACCACTCTGCCTGCCAGCCTGATGCCCCTAACTGCTCTCCCTGCCAGCCTGATCTCCCTAACTGCTCTCCCCTGCCGGCCTGATCGCCCCTAACCACCTCTGCTTCAGCCCCACCACTATGGCTGTGTCTGGAAGGACATCTGGAAGGTGGTCTGGAAAATGTCTGGTCTAATTAGCATATTACCCTTTTATTAGTATAGATACTTTTATCATATAAGAAAGCAAAATATACACAGAAATTTTCAATTTATTTACAACCTTCTTCATCTCCAAAAATGTGATGTCAATACATAATAAAGCAAATCTTAATTAGTCAAAAAGAGTGATTTACTCTTTCTATAACCCACTTCTTATTTTAGGTTTTTGTGAGATATATATATTAGAGGCCCGATGCACAAAATTCACGCAAGAGTAGGCCTTCCTTCCCCCAGCAGCCAGCACCCAGGACTCGGGCTTCCCTCGCAGCCCTGGCTTCATCTGGAAGGTCATCTGGAAGGACTAATTACCATATTATGCTTTTAATATATATATATATATATATATATATATATATATATATATAGCCATATTTCATACCAATTAAAAACAGCCAGTGTGGCTCAGTGGTTGAGTGTCAACCTATGAACCAGGAGGTCACGGTTCTATTACCGGTCCAAGCACATGCCAGGGAGTGGGTTTGATCCCCAGTGTGGGGCATGCAGAAGGCAGCCAATCAATGATTCTCTCTCATCATTGATGTTTCTATCTCTCTCTCCCTCTCCCTTCCTCTCTGAAATCAATCAAAATATATTTAAAAACAAAAAAGAAAGAGAGCAAGAAACATTGATGTGAGAGAGACACATAAATTCGTTGCCTCCCGCATGAGCCTGGACCGAGCCTGGGATCGAACCTGAAACCCTTCAGTGTGCAGGCTGACCACTGGTTTTGATATCCGTTCAAGTCAATTAATTCATATATTCACTAATTTAATAAACATGTAGGGGACACCCTTTAGATACCTAACATTTTGTTTGGCTATGGAAGTATAAAAATGAGCTAGAGCAGATCCCTTCCCCTGCAGTAGCCAGTATGGTAGGAGAGTAATGTGAAATCACTATAGAACATAAAGACAAATGTTACATCAAATCTTCAGGTAGTCGAAAAGCAATAAAAATCCACATAACACAGCAACCGTAATTATAATAAGGTCTGTTATTCCAGGTTTTAACTTCACAAGAGTAGTACCATCGACAAGGGTCTTGAAGAAGATGCAGAAATTCAACAAGCTGGAGAAGGAGGAAGGTGGAGGAAACAGCCAACAAAACAGCGGTGTAGACAGAGGGAAGCATCGAGTAAGGGAGGAATTGGGAAACCTTTGGTGTTATATGACTTAGGTGCTTACACAGAGGAATGGCAGGAAATGAAGGCAGAAGGAGATTCAGAGTTATATTATGAGGGGCCTTGCTCGCCACAGTTAGGAGGGGAAGGCAGAATGATGTAATGAATAGTAGTTGGTTCAAGTCAAAGCCCTGCTTCTTACTTCTGTGTGAGTAAGTTAATTCTCCACTTTAAGCTTTAATTGTCTCATATAATAAAGAGTTATTGTGGGAGGAATTAGAGATAGCAAATATGAAAGTGCTTAGTTGTTGCTGATATTAAAAATCACTCAGTACATTTTAGGGTAGGCTGGTTTTATACTGAAGGTGATGGGAAACCATTGAGGGTTTTAGCACATTAGATTAGGGTACTGGGTAACTACGGCAGTAGAGAATGACCCTAGTCAAATTGACCCCTCTTCCTTCCTCCCTCCCTCCCTCCCTCCCTCCCTCCCTCCCTCCCTCCCTTCTTCCCTCTCTTCCTCTCTCTTTAAAATCAATAAACAAATTTTGCAAAAAAGAAATTGAGGATGAGGACAGAGTTAAAATTAAGGAGGTGGCATTTAGGGAAAATCTAAAGCAGGAAAGAAAGGTTTAGAAGTCACTGGTAAACAGGTGTGCCGTTATGGGAGCATCTGAGGTCAGCCAGAGAAAAAAGAATAAAACCAAGGCCCCAAGAATAGTATTTCAGGGGAGACGGAGGGAGAGAAGCTTCTGACAGACATTGCTTAGAAAAGGATGAAGAAGTGTGTGAAAGGTCAGAAGCAAGCATTACTGCAGAAGACACCTGTGATGTGAGGCATAGTTCTGTCACCTACAGTAGAAAATTCAAGAAGGAAAAAGATGGGAAAGGATTAAGGGCAATACGGATCTCATCGTAACCCAATCAACAGGACAACTAGCATCAGGGGAGAGGAGAAGAGGCTGGTTTTCTTTGAAATGATATTTAAATGATATTTAAATGGCAATGGCTTTGGAAGGCACAAGAGAGAAAAAGACTGATGAAGAAAGGTCCCAGAAGAGAATAAAGAAGAGATGGAGTCAGGCCAACAGGTGGCAGGAGGAATCCAGGAAAAGAAGAATGTCCCCTCTTCTGAGGACAATGAGTAAAGGTAAGCTAAGTGACAGAGTAAGAGAGAGCCAAGGAGGAAAACAAATCCAAATGTCCATCATGTTGTCTGTGCGTTCCGGAGTAGTGCAGGGAAATGGAGTGCTGGAATTGAGAAAAGTTGTGAAAATTGGAAGAGCTGTAGTAGGTAGGTAGTAAGAAAGGGTACTAGTCAGATCCATGCGAAATGATAGACAGAGGAAGGGTGAAGCTACTCTGGATTAAAACCTCATATATTGCCCTAACCGGTTTGGCTCAGCAGATAGTGTGTCGGCCTGCGGACTCAAGGATTCCAGGTTCGATTCCGGTCAAGGGCATGTACCTTGATTGTGGGCACATCCCCAGTGGGGAGTGTGCAGGAGACAGCTGATCTATGTTTCTCTCTCATCGATGTTTCTAACTCTCTATCCCTCTCCCTTCCTCTCTGTAAAAAATCAATAAAATATATTTAAAACAAAAACAAAAAAACCTCATATATTTGCAATGTTGCCCAAAGGCAAGGATCGGGTTGTCTCCAGTAGCACAGGGCAGTCCCCAAACAGGGCTGGGAACCATGGGGACTGGCAAGATGAGAGGCTCAGGAGGGAGGTAAGGGGTGCAGTTGAAGATGTGGGGGTAGACATCAGACTTAGAAAAAATAAAAGAATGAGAAAGGTGAAAGGCAAAGATTTTCTGTTGAGTCTTCATAACTTAGCCTGAAGAGAAGTGTCACCAAGTTTCCAGTGGGTGTCAATTACCAGCCAACACCAAGGACATTGACCCCAATCCTGCCTGCCCCCTGTGATCTCTCCTCATCAATGATCTCCTCTTTATTGTTCTTTTACCCTCATTCTCCTTTCCATTGACATTATTTAAAGATACTCCTTCAACCCCCTGTTGCCCTCCAACAACTCCCCACCACTCCCTGGCCGTCCACAGCCAAACTTCGAGAGAGTGTCTGTGCTCACTGCCTCCCTTTAGCACTCACCTCTCTTCCCAGCTGCTTCTGCCATTCCAGGAAAATGACTCTCGCTAACACGACCAGGGTCATCTTGTTACCAAAGCTAAATGGCCCAGTCTTCCCTGTTAGCCTTTAGCAGCCCTGGCTTCTTAAGCAGCATTTGACACCCTGGGAGTGTGTCCTTCCTTTTTGAGAATTTCTTGATGGCTTCTGAAGTGCCCTCTCCTGCTTCTCCCCCTGCTGTGCCACCCTGTTCTCATTTTCATCTAAATGCTATCCAGCCTTAACTCCTCCCTCTCCTTTATCATTTCACCTCCAACCTTACCCGTGACCAGAGCCATGGCTGCCGAATCATCTTTTGAGTGCATCCCTTCCCATGATCCCCATGTCACTGTCCTCATTTTGTTTCAGGATCGTATAGTTTCCATGCTTTCTCCAAGTAACTCTTAACTCATCTCTCTCGCTCTGGATTTTCCTCCTTCCCATGTGTTTTCTTAAGGAAACACACATCGGATACTGCCCCAATGTTCAGAGCCCCCCAGTGCACAAGGAAGGTCATTCAAACCTCTTGGAATGAATCATAATCCTCTACCATGTGCCCTGCTCCTCAACACCCCTTATTCTCTGGTGCCCTTCAGCTATTGCAAACCACACACATTTACTTCCCTTTGGCATGTTTCTTACCCTGGCCACCTCCCCCTCATCCTTGCCTGGAATTCTAACCTCTCTTTCAGGAGTCAGCTCAGTGCCCTTCCTCCACCCTTCCCTGGCCTGTACTCCTCAGGCTGGGCGTGCCCACTGTGCACTCGGTGCCACCTGCCTCCTGAAGCCAATCACACCCTGGGCCGTAATCTCTGACTGCTGGTCTGTCTCCCTCCCAGAAAGAAATTCTTATTGTGGCCACAGCTGGAATACAGATTCAGCTGTTGTTAGATTATTGGAACTAAAACAGTGAAGCTACATAGTGGATAATTTTTAGCTCGGACAGGCGGTAAGAGGTCAGCCTCCCCAAGTTCAGTCCCGTTTTCAACTTGCATTTAATTGCAACCATGGCGAAAAAAGGGAGGTTTCCGAGCTGCCCTTTCCATTCCTCCATTTCCTGCGTACCTCTTCCCCACACCCCACACCCCAACTTCCCCTCTTCCTACCCCACCACAAATTCTCACCACATGGTCTCCCCAGATTCCTGCCTCATACCTAGCCATACCAAATCACAAACAGGCCCACAGACATCTCTCACTCATGATGCAATCACACTCTGATGTACCCGGCTCTTCTACCCTCTTACCTCCTGGAAAAATCAGCTCAAGTAAAAGAGTGTGAGACGGATGTGGAACTGTTTGCAAACCCTTCATAGAACCTTCCAGGCATCTCTTCTCTATGTGCAGACTTCTATTATAGTCCATATAGTCCTTATCTCTACGTGACAGGTAGACGAAATAGCTTTGGGAAACGTTTAAATGAACTGGGACGGTTCCCTTGTAGATTCTTAAGTGACATTGGCTAGCTGAGATTTTATTTTCCACCTTAGAGCTTGATGCCGAGATTAGACTTGTCTGTGTACAGACTCTGCTGGCTCTGTGAGAAGGGGATTTCGCCGCCACCACTGCAAACAGGGTGACGCACAAGAACAGGAAAGCACTTTGTGAAAACGTATGACAGATTCAGTTACCAGAGAAAATATCTCCCAAATCTGACCCGTCAGGGTGGCCATGTCTTTAAAATATAGTTTTTTTGAAGTAATTTTACCTAAAATATAAGAATACCCTAAACTGCAAAATCAGGTTGAAAACTGAACCTAAACGTAGGCCCATGAGCCCTGGAAATGGGGTTAATGTGATCGAAGAACTGTTAATTTTATCTAATTTTAATTAATTTTTAATTAGAAACTGATACTCGATTCAGTTCATAGAAAGCAGGTATGTTTATTTAGAATAATTCAGGGAGGTAAATCCACTTTTTCACCTGTAAATTCTGTAAATGTCATGGATTCTAAGCACATTCTCACGCTATGAAAGGCTCCAAGGGTGTTTGTGAGTAAGTGTGCCACACGCTGTGCTCAGCACTGGGACTGTGCCAGAGACCAAGAGCGCGCAGTCTCTGCCCTCGCGGGGCTAAGGTACCGCAGGGAAGACGGACCTCACAGAAAAGTGTTTCGGGGGCTGCAGGAGGGACAGGACATTGGGCTAAGAAAGCACAAAGCAGAGCCCCTGGCCTGGGTCCTGCTGCATTGAGTGCACTAGGAAATCTTGATCTGTATGACACCAAAGAATTCCCTGTTCTAAATGCAGATTTCCTGGGTAACGTAAGCCCAGTTAATTCATGTACCGAAAAATGAACATAAATCACCATCTGACCTGAGAATCTGACTGCTCACTCTCAACAATATAATTTTTCCACAGTCACATCTCTGCCCTCCCTGCCCTGTAAGTCTTCGATTCCTTACAATCAACAAGAGAGACTCTTAGTTATCCCAAATAAAAGGAGTATCTATACATTAATTCAATACCAAGACAGAATCCTTATTCATTACTAAGACCTTGCCCGAATAATGAGAAATCGCCTTGACATCACAGGACAAGTGGGGCACAGCGTTATTTCGCCAATTGAGCTGATATTTTCATTTAAAAGAGTCATTCATCAATGTAAAAAAGTTACAGTACCCTTTGAATGGTTTTCTGATCCTTTTCTACCGTCTCTTTCAGATTCATAATTTCATCTTCTATAAACAAAAAGAGAGAGAGACCAACCATGAAATTACACGTTTATGCCCTGTATTCAAACTTCCTGCTTCCAGGCAGGCTGAACACCACTGGCAGGCATGGTGGACGCAAGTCCTGGCAGGACTGTGACCTTCACAACTGCCCTTGACACTCACAGCCTTCTTCCTGCTGTTAAGAAGGCTGGTCAGATAGGGATTAAGAACTAAGTTCAACATCCAAGTGTGGCCGAGGGCTGAAAGCTTTTCATCAATACTCGCCATGGACACTTCTGCTGCTGGTCACAGCCTATACAAAGTGCTTCGGCAGGTGGCACGTTTTGACTCAGTCAGCACTACCAGGACCTAAAAGCGCACTATTACACCACATCAGAAGAAAAGCCAAACTACGCTGGCACAGTACAACTGTATATTTAAGAGATGTTGTAATAGAAATGATTGTATCCATATTTTGTGATTTCTTTATTGCTTACTCGTTACGTTTCATACTGCAGATGAAGAGCAACATTATATAATTAATATAAATACAAAGATAACAGTCAGTGAAAAAAAACTGCTTAAAGCAATATAACTTTGGAGGTTAAAATGAAACTCTCACCAATGTTTATGGTATGTAAAAAAAGGGGGATACAAATGAACATTTGTACTTAAAATCTGTACCAAAAATTGAAGATAATTAAGTAGTAAGTCAGAGCATATATTTCTGAAGGGCTAACCCTGTTTCTCCACAAGCCATAGCTCAATATGTATTTATAAGTTTTAAATTTTACATAACTAATTAAGCATAAGAAACAGAAATTGGCAAAGGTTTCTGTTTTATAACATTTCTAAGTGAAATAAAGCATGGATTAGCATATTTTTTCAAAGATCAATGCTTGGCTTGAAAGAAAAAACTTAGAAAAGCCCTGAGTTAAAATGACATGGCTCAGGAGTATAATTATAATATTTATATATATTCCCTGTCCCAAGCAAGAAATGCCATTTTAAATGAAAATCAAAGACGGCTATCAAACTGATCTTTCAAATGTAAATAACCAGACAAATGTGTGTTTGGAAAAGACAAACATAGCTATGAATTTTATAAAGTGCCCAATATGTAGATTTCCTGAAAAATGACTTTAAAATATTACCTAAAAATGCATTTTCTTTTAGATTGAGTTGGGCTACTTCTTCGAGTTCTGCAACGACTTGAAGCAGTCTCGCATTTTCCACTTTGTACTCCAAATGTTCCTTCGCTGAAGCTTTTTCAGAGTCGGCCTCTGTTGCCAAAGCTTCCTGAAAGATGGGGAATTCCATATTTGTAAGCAGGGAGCCAAGAATTTAAATATGCAGCACAAGACAAGACAGATACAGAAGAGCTATCATATAATTTTCTGAATTCTATTACACACTTACAATATGAATAGCAAAAAGGAAGGGGATTAAATAGAGCTTGCTGGAAGAAAGGCTGCAGTACATTCTGTACAAAGACCACAGCACATGGGGACATTTTATTGACAGGAATAATGCATATCATACTGTTTGTGTGCCCTCATCATTCAGGTCAATTCATTATGGAGGCTATGTCCGGGGAGGCAGCTGGGGCCCCTCACCCACATTTCCCCCTGTGTGTGTCTGAAGTGCTGTCTGCCTGTAACTAGGCAGGCCGGGGAGACCGTGGACGGGCAGCGGCAGGGGGTGGCAAAGTGCACCGTGAAGGAGGGAGGCTTGTTGCCTTTGTGGCATCTCCCAGTGTCAGTGCTGCCGGTGTCATGAGGAGCACATCACATGTCAAAGTGGTGACGTTTTCAGGCTGGGAGCCGCATGGAGTCCATCAGGCACTCGGATATCCACACAGTTGGTTTTCTGCTTGGTGGAGGAGCCACCCAGAGGCAATTCATATTCTGAACATTAACATGGCTTTGCATGCCTGTCACACTGGGGCTGTGCAGGCGTTTAATGCTATTGAAGACTTCGGTTTAAATCTCTATGCAAACAGTGATTACCTTGTAAGAAGGTTTCAGGATAACTTACAACAAAAGACTTTAAAGTTATAGTTTTAGTAAAGCAAACTCATTTACATTTTTATTATGTGAGTCTTTTGTTTAAATCTTGCCACGTCCATTATGGGAGAGGCTTTTTCTTACGCAATAGAAGCTTATTGGGACAGCGACTCTTCTTTTCTTCTTCTTCTTGTCTTGTTTCAAAGCTATTGGAGACATCTGAATATACTCGCTTACGGCTGTCTACATTTTACTGCCACACGTTATTTTTAAAATTAAGATGTAATGGATTGGGGAAGCTGGTGCAGAACTTTATGCTTCATGGTGGTAAAATATTAAACTGATTATGCCATCTCAAAATATTAAAGAGTATGCTTACAGGTCATTATAAAGAGATAGGAGGTTCTATATGCCTTGCTTCAAAATCGATAGACACTAGAAATACTTTTGAACTTTAAAGTAATCTTTAGATGAATTCTAACCTATCTTTCCATAGCAATGTCATGGCTGCAGATACACAAGAATAAGGTTTCGCCTCAAAACCAAAATCATTCCTCCCAATGTGCTGCTTTCCTTTTGGAATTGTATTTTTACTTAACTTTAGAGATACCTGGGAGTAAATTATTAAAATAGTTTCAAAAAATATTTTCCTCTGTGCTCATAATGGCCTAAAAGAAAAATAAGTGTGTATAATGTCTTGTATAACAATAATTTCTTACAAATGAAGCAACTTAGTGAAGTAGTTAGGTCAGAGTTAATATTTAAAATAATGTTAAGTTTTGCCTAAGCCCAATTACAAATCTTCATGAGTTTGATTCAAATTATTTGAGCTTGATTCATTCTTAATTAAATATCTAATAGTTATGTTTTCTTATTAGCGGGGAAATCCAGTTATTAATGTCTTGTCCCACAGTGTTAAATTTGAAATGATTACAGAATATATTTATAGACTAAAAAGGAATTTATTGATTTATGGTCTAAAAGGGTTTTTAAATAACAAACAAATAATATTTGCCTTGCTAGGCTTACACATACATTTCCTAACAGTGACAAAATACGAACATCCACAGTGGATTACTTGAGTGCCGTTACCATAAAATAAACAAGAACTATTTGAATTAATCAGGTGAAGTCTAAAATTTGTAACTGGCAGCAGCTAATATCTAAGTTCATTTTCTAAAAAATATTGTTTAAAAGTAGGAAACAAGGAAAACACATTTAACTCAGATTTATTTTCTCCACATAGCCATCTACAGCTCCTGTTCTTCTAAGGTTAACCTTTAGCTCTGTCCCCACCATCTGTTCACTGTAGGAACTGCAAGTAATTAACTATTCAGACTCTCACAGCAATGAGGACACTCATTAGCAAAATGAACAAAGGGATAGTTCTGGGCTGCCACGGTCATCTGTTACACTCTGAGTGGCAGGTTTTGTGATGGTGCTCCTTCTACCATCTGCCCACACCACTAGTTTTGGTTTACTTAAATCATGGGACTTATTTAAAATATGCTGCATTGATAAACAAGGGCTAGGAAGATCATTAAAAGGTGGTTAACTAGATGTTGCTAATTTAAAGCTATGTTGTAATAGATGAGAAATTGTGTGTGATTCATGACCATCTTGTAATTTTAAGTTTATAAAGGAACTTGCCAATTTAAAATGTTCCTATTATGTGAAAAGTAGGACTTCTGGTGGTGGCTTATGCACTATTTTGCTTGTAAACAGTCGCAAGATGTGCAGATTCGCGGTTCCCAGGGTTTTTAATTCTCAACTATTCTTGAAAGAATAGTTTCTGAAAACTAGTATACTCTAGTGCAGGGGTCCTCAAACTATGTCCCGAGGGCCACATGCAAATACAAATACTGTATTTGTTCCCGTTTTGTTTTTTTTACTTCAAAATAAGGTATGTGCAGTGTGCATAGGAATTTGTTCATAGTTTTTTTTTTAAACTATAGTCCGGCCCTCCAACGGTCTGAGGGACAGTGAACTGGCCCCCTGTTTAAAAAGTTTGAGGACCCCTGCTCTAGTGCCTTGCTACTCAAAGTGTAGTCCGTGGACCAGGAGCCGAAGCATTACCTGGGAGCTTATTGGAAATGCAGAATCTCAGGCCCCAGCCCAGCCCGACTATCAGAAGCTGTATGTTAACAATTGCTGCAGGTGGTCCATATGCACAATAAAGTCTGAGAAGTACTGTTTAGAGCACCGCATGTGCCTTCTCAGCAGTCTCCCTTCTGCCATGTTGGTGCCTCGATTCTGCAGGCTCCATGCACGCTCCTTGGACATCTCAATTTGATGCTGGGGGTGGAGTACGTTCTGATGCATGCCCAGGCTGCATGACAGTCACAGAGCAAAGCAGGTGCTTTCCAATGAGTGACAACCAGGAAAGTGGCATGCTGGGGCAGTGAAGCCCTGCAGAGCTGCCACTCTTGAATGACAGCTGTTTCAGAACTGTCAGCAACAAGCAGTTATGTTCACCTATGGGGGTGGTGCGGGTGCATGAGTGATGGCTGCACAGCTCATATGTGTTGGGGTAAGGAAAAAAAAGGAAAGGTCTTTTCAAAGAAACTTAATTGCAATTAAAACACATATGTGGCCGGGTGGGGTGGCTCACTGGTTGAGCATCGACCTATGAACCAGGAGGTCAGGGTTAGATTCCCAGTCAGGGCATATGCCTGGGTTGCGGGTTCCATCCCCAGTGTGGGGCATGCAGGTGGCAGCCAATCAATGATTCTCTCTCATCATTGATGCTTCTATCTCTCTACCTCTCTCTTCCTCTCTGAAATCAATAAAAAATATTTTTTCTTTATTGATTAAGGTATTACATATGTATTCATATCGTCCCATTGCCTCCCCTCCCCCCAGTCCTGCCCTCACCCTCACCCCCTGTTGTCTGCGTCCATTGGTTAGGCTTATATGCATGCATACACGTCCTTTGGTTGATCTCTCCCCCTTACCCCCAACCTCCCCTACCTTCCCTCTGAGGTTTGAGCATCTGATTGACGCTTCTCTGTCTCTGGATCTGTTTTTGTTTATTGCTTTATGTTGTTCCTTATAATACACAAATGAGTGAGATCATGTGATATTTATCTTTCTCTGACTGACTTATTTCACTTAGCGTAATGCTCTCTAGATCTATCCATGCTGTTGCAAATGGTATGAGTTCCTTCCTTTTTTACAGCAGTGTAGTATTCCATTGTATAGATGTACCACAGTTTTTTAATAAAAATATATTTAAAAAAAACACATATGCACATGCACACATATCTATGTACATGCACAAATACCCTGACAAACTGGCCTGCTTTAGTTTTCAAGGGGATTTACCAACGTACAGCTTGGCAACCTGGTAACTCTAAGGGCATGCAGTTAAGTCACAATGGTTTCCTACAGAACTAAACCTGAAAAGAAGCTCAGTCCTTGAATGAAGTTGTTCTCAGGAAAATTTAACATTAAGGACGTGTGACCTGGAGAGAGGAGGCTTCTGAACTTGAAGAGCTTCCTTTTCTAATTTTCACTTTGTTATAAATATTAATTAAACTAGCTGTTTATTAAACTTTCACTTTTCACTCTTCTAATACTACATTTTTGACAGATGTCTCTCAAAAACAGCCCTGGAGAGATATTAGGACTACTTATTAACTGTAAAGCTTTCTATGTGATTTGACTATCAGTAAGAATTAATTACAGTGTTTTCCCACTGTTTATTCAATTTGCTTGTTTTAATTTTATTTTTCAAGTTATTTTCATTTTGCTTTAGAACTTTCTAATTGTTTCTCTAAATTCTGTTTTCCAAATTTATTTTCAGATCCTTGGCAACTCAAGCTTTTTTATACCACTAGAGGGAGCAGGTGTATAAGATGAAATTTTAAATAAAAAGATGTATCATCTAGAATTTAAGTGGCATGGAGTTTTAGGAAAGCTAGTTTTTAGAGGATTATTTGAAAAGTATTTTTCCAGAGAGTTATTTTCTATAGTACGTGATCTGTTTTTGTGGCAGTTATTCCGTGTTCTTGAAATGCATACTAGTCCTGGTGAAGCTGGGAGAAACGTATGGACCCAGCTAATCAGATTTATCTCATCTTCCTCGAATCTGAGGGTGTTTACAGGAAAACGGATGTGGTCTCCTTGGGGGGAAATTGCAGAGGATTATCCAGCGTCTCTGGGATGCCAACCTGAGCCAAAGAACACCCTGCTGACAGGACAGCAGCGTGGAAACTCCCACCTCCTGTCCTCCTCACAAAGCCACCTCCATCCTTATCCAGAACATTCAGACAGACCAGGTAACCAGCTGACAACACTTAGAGATGTAAACACTCCCAGCTAGACCTCATGTTTTAGTGGAATGAGTTCAGTTAGGAAGTTGGGACCTTATCAACAGTCCAGAGGCCTGTTCAGTGCATTTCATGGAATGTCAACCAGAAGGGCACATACACTCAGCGCTTCCTCATAATGATAACTAGAATTCATAGGCTAATCTTTTTTTAAAGAACTCAAAGCAATTCATATCCAGTACAACAGGTATCCTTCTCATCACTTTCTCTTAGCCAGGCAGGTATCACTTTCCAGTTCACAAATGGAAAATAAATGAATCAAAATGGCCTTGCCAATTGATGCTGTACTTCTTTGGCCAAGGCAAAACTAAAAGCCGAAACCCAAACAGGTTTTTTTTAGCCTTTTATATTGAATAATTTTACCTAAAAAATAGGGGTAATATAGAACCATGAAAAGGTTCAGAAAAGTAAATGCAAAAACTGGATCTTCCTTCTCCTCCAAGGCCATCAGAACATGTAAAAAGACTTAATATTCAATTTTATTAGATCTGTGTTAATAACAACACTACATTACTTAGAAGATAATAATTTTTTTTTGTTTTTAGAGCATAAATAACTCTAATTGATTAAACAAAGCAAACACTCCTTCACCAACCTGAGCCAGTTAGTAAATAAAATCCTTTAGAAGGATGCACGTTCAATTCCTTGTCTCTTCTAACTTCAAAGTTTTAAGTGTGGAATTTAAGATTGTACTTAAAGGGACCACCAGCTCATAAGTGTTTCTTCCTAGTGATTTTACTTGTAACTTCTCATATTTTTATTAGTGTGTCAATATTTACATGTATATATACATGTGTAATATATTAATTATAATAATATACATTATAATAGAAATATACATTATCCTATATAATAAAAGGCTAATATGCAAATTGTTCCCTTGACCAGGAGTTTGACCAGGAGGTGGGGCCAGCCTTCCAACTGCCTGCGGCTCCTCCCACCGGCTGGCCCCGCCCCAAATTGCCCCTCCCCCGATTGGGAGGTGGGGCTGGCCAGCCAACCTCCTGCATCCCCTCCCCATGGACAGACTGGCTCGTTCGGCCCAGATTGGGGCAGGCTGGCTAGACCCCACCTGCGCACGAATTCATGCACTAGGCCTCTAGTAATAACATAATCATATACTAGTATATGTGTTTATACTAGAGGTCTGGTGCACAAAATTTGTACATGGCTAGGGTCCCTAGGCCTAGCCCTCCAGCAGCTGGCTTGGGCCTTCCTTCCGGCTGACAGCTGGGGCCTTCCTTTGTTCTGCCCTGCCCCCTAGTGGTCAGCACACATCAGGGATCGGTCTCCCAGTCTAACTCTTGCGGGGACAATTTGTATATTAGGCTTATGTGTATATATATATATATATATATATATATATAACAGCCTTTAATTCTTACTGTAGAGCACAGAGCTCCACTTCCTTCTGTAGGCTATGGATTCAGCTGGACCTTGGGCTCATATGCCATCTTTACCATTGACCAGCTGTGTGTCTAGTCACTAGACTCTAGTGGGAAGTTACTTAACCACCCTGTCTCTGCTTCCGCATTTGTAAACTGATCTGTGAGATGAGAAGAGGTACCACTTTACTCCATTCCATGTTCTTTCCTCCTTTGTCAAATATTAATTGACCAAAAAGGCAGGTTTATTTCTCTGCTCTCTATTCTGTTCCATTGATCTATATGTCTGTTGTTATGCCAGTACCATGCTGTTTTGAGTACTATGGCTTTGTAGTATAGCTTAATTATCAGGTAGTGTGATACCTCCAACTTTGTTTTTCTTTCTCAAGACTACTGAGGCCATTCCGGGTTTTTCATGGTTCTGTATAAATTTTTGAAATTTTTGTTCTAGATCTGTGAGCTATGCCATTGGTATTTTAATGGCAATTGTGTTGAATTTGTATATTGTTTTGGATAGTATGGACATTTTAATGGTGTTAATTTTTCCTATCCATGAATATGGTATATGCTTTTGCTTATTTGTATCTTCCTCAATTTCTTTCTTCAATATATTATAATTTTCAAGTACAGATCTTTTACCTGCTTGGCTAAATTTATTCCTGGTACCTTTTTGTTGCTGTTGTTGTTGCAATAGTAAGTGAGATTGTTTTCTTAATTTCTCTCTGTAATAGTTTATTATTGATGTATAAAAATGCCACTGATTTCTTTTTTAAAAAATTCTTTATTGTTGAAAGTATTACATATGTCTCCTTTTCCCCCACTGACTTCTCCCAGCTCACTCCTGCCAATTTCTGAATATTAATTTTATATCTTACTACTTTTCCAAATTCATTTATTAGGTCTAATAATTTTTGGTGGAGTCTCAGTCTCTTCAATAAATGGTGTTGGAAAAATTAGACCAAATACATGCAAAAAAAAAAATGAAACTAGACCACCAACTTATACCATACACAAGAATAAACTCAAATTGGACTAAAGACTGAAATATAAGTCACAAAACCATAAAAATCCTTGAAGAAACCATCGGCAGTAAAATCTCAGAAATTTCTCATAGCAATATTTTTGCAGATATATCTCCTTAGGCAAGGGAAACAAAAGAAAAAAATAAACAAATAGGACTATATCAAACTAAAAAGCTTTTGTACAGAAGAAGAAACCATCAACAAAATGAAAAGAGATCCCACTGAATGGGAGACCATATTTACCAATGACACATCTGATAAGGGGGTTAATTTCCAAGATGTATAAAAAACTTATACTACTCAACAAGACAAACAACCTCAAGAAGACAAACAACCAAATTAAAAAATGGGCAAAGGACCTGAATAGACACTTCTCCAAAGAGAACATACAGATGGCCAAGAGACATATGAAAAAATGCTCAACATCACTAATCATCAGAGAGATGCAAATTAAAACCACAATACAGTAAGACATCTCCTCATGCATGTCAGAATGGCTATCAATAAGTCAACAAACAAGCACTGACAAGAATGTGAAGAAAAGGGAACCCTCATACATTATTGGTGGGAATGCAGACTGGTGCAGCCACTGTGGAAAACAGTATGGCGTTTGCTCAAAAATTTTAAAATGGAATTGCCTTTTGATCCAGTGATCCCACTTCTGGAAATATATCCAAAGTAACCCAAAATACTAATTTGAAAGAATATATGTTCCCCTTATGTTCTTAGCAGCATTATTTAGTATAACTAGAGGCCTGGTGCATGAATTCGTGCATAGGTGGGATCTGGCCAGCCCACCCTGATCTGGGGTGCAGCGGGGGGGGGGGGGGCGGCCAAGGTGGGGCACCCCGGGGGGGGGGGCGGTGGGGAATGGCCCCCTGGCCCCCCCCCCCCTGGGAAGGGGAAAATTTTGATATTAACCTTTTTTTATTTATTAAAACCCCAAAATTGAGCTCTCCCCCAGTGCCCCACAATAAAGAGAGGGGGGTGGGAGAGTGTGGGTACTTTTTCCCACAAAAAATAACTTCCCTTAAAAAAGAAAATCTTTACCTTTTGGACACACGGAT